TGGATGCCCTCAATGGCCTTGTCTATGCTAAAATGGTTTATTTCCATGAGTCCTCTATCTATCTCTATGACAACAGGCACAACTCAGATATAACAGGTGTGTGGTGCTGGAGGAGGGCGAGGGCGCTTCAATTTGAGAATACACTGAACATTTATTCTGATTCTAAATATATTATATTTAATTACCACAAAAATTCCATGAATAGTGATTGAATGTCAAACCAAATAAATATGTAGGCTACAGCAGGTCGGTAAATGGTGGTTTCTTTCCTGTCTTCTCTCTGGTGGTGGCGAGAATGATGAGAAACGGCCCTGCGTCTCAACCAATAGCCAATGTAGGCTAAATATCCCACGCAGGACTACAGCAACTTCCAGAGAGGGTCAGGCTCCTTGGGCTTTCCAGAGAGGATCAGGCTCCTTGGGCTTTCCAGAGAGGATCAGGCTCCTTGGGCGTTCCAGAGAGGATCAGGCTCCTTGGGCGTTCCAGAGAGGGTCAGGCTCCTTGGGCGTTCCAGAGAGGATCAGGCTCCTTGGGCGTTCCAGAGAGGATCAGGCTCCTTGGGCGTTCCAGAGAGGATCAGGCTCCCTGGGCTTTCCAGAGAGGATCAGGCTCCTTGGGCTTTCCAGAGAGGATCAGGCTCCCTGGGCTTTCCAGAGAGGATCAGGCTCCTTGGGCTTTCCAGAGAGGATCAGGCTCCTTGGGCGTTCCAGAGAGGGTCAGGCTCCTTGGGCGTTCCAGAGAGGATCAGGCTCCTTGGGCGTTCCAGAGAGGATCAGGCTCCTTGGGCGTTCCAGAGAGGGTCAGGCTCCTTGGGCTTTCCAGAGAGGATCAGGCTCCTTGGGCGTTCCAGAGAGGGTCAGGCTCCTTGGGCGTTCCAGAGAGGGTCAGGCTCCTTGGGCTTTGCTGTGGCCACTCTGGTTTGGGTGTCCTCGGCAGAACGCTGTAACTGTAACCAAGGGGTCACATATCGTTTTGGGTTCCACTGTGCAAGAGAGGGGGTCGTGGAGTTTTATGAACATCAAGGCAGACACGGTGAATTTAGATAAATATTTTTATCTGATTGGCCAAAGTTGTCAACAATCTAATGGGACTCTGCAGCGCCTACAGTTGAAGTCGGAAGTTTATATACACTTAGGTTGGAGTCATTAAAACTCGTTTTTCAACCACTCCACAAATTTCTTGTTAACAAACTATAGTTTTGGCAAGTCAGTTAGGACATCTACTTTGTGCATGACACAAGTAATTTTTCCAACAATTGTTTACAGACAGATTATTTCACTTATAATTCACTGTATCACAATTCCAGTGGGTCAGAAGTTTACATACACTAAGTTGACTGTGCCTTTGAACAGCTTGGAAAATTCCAGAAAATGATGTCATGGCTTTAGAAGCTTCTGATAGGCTAATTGACATAATTTGAGTCAATTGGAGGTGTACCTGTGGATGTATTTCAAGGCTTACCTTCAAACTCAGTGCCTCTTTGCTTGACATCATGAGAAAATCAAAAGAAATCAGCCAAGACCTCAGAAAAAAAATTGTAGACCTCCACACGTCTGGTTCATCCTTGGGAGCAATTTCCAAATGCCTGAAGTTCATCTGTACAAACAATAGTACGCAAGTATAAACACCATGGGACCACACAGCCGTCATACCGCTCAGGAAGGATACGCGTTCTGTCTCCTAGAGATGAACGTATTTGGTGCAAAAAGTGCAAATCAATCCCAGAACAACAGCAAAGGACCTTGTGAAGATGCTGGAGGAAACGGGTACAAAAGTATCTATATCCACAGTAAAACGAGTCCTATATCGACATAACCTGAAAGGCCGCCCAGCAAGGAAGAAGCCACTGCTCCAAAACCGCCATAAAAAAGCCAGAGTACAGTTTGCAACTGCACATGGGGACAAAGATCGTACTTTATGGAGAAATGTCCTTTGGTCTGATGAAACAAAAATAGAACAGTTTGGCCATAATGACCATCATTATGTTTGGAGGAAAAAGGGGGTAGCTTGCCAGCCAAAGAACACCATCCCAACCGTGAAGCACGGAGGTGGCAGCATCATGCTGTGGGGGTGCTTTGCTGCAGGAGAGACTGGTGCACTTCACAAAATAGATGACATCATGAGGAAGGAAAATGATGTGGATATATTGAAGCAACATCTCAAGACATCAGTCAGGAAGTTAAAGCTTGGTCGCAAATGGGTCTTCCAAATGGACAATGACCCCAAGCATACTTCCAAAGTTGTGGCAAAATGGCTTAAGGACAACAAAGTCAAGGTATTGGAGTGGCCATCACAAAGCCCTGACCTCAATCCTATAGAAAATGTGTGGGCAGAATTGAAAAAGCGTGTGCGAGCAAGGAGTCCTACAAACCTGATTCAGTTACACCAGCTCTGTCAGGAGGAATGGGCCAACATTCACCCTACTTATTGTGGGAAGCTTGTGGAAGGCTACCCGAAACGTTTGACCCAAGTTAAACAACTTAAATGCAATGCTACCAAATACTAAATGAGTGTATGTAAACTTCGGACCCACTGGGAATGTGATGAAAGAAATAAAAGCTTAAATAAATAATTATCTCTATAATTATTCTGACATTTCACATTCTTAAAATAAAGTGGTGATCCTAACTGACCTAAGACAGGGACTTGTTACTAGGATTACATGTCAGGTTTTGTGAAAAACTGAGTTTAAATGTATTTGGCTAAGGTGTATGTAAACTTCCGACTTCAACTGTACGGGTACATGTAGCCTTCAGTTCTAGCTTGGTATGTCAGGGTGGAAAATTGGAAGTGTGAATTGGGACAAGTTGGAGGTAATAATGCATTTAGGTTATAGTTTATAGTGGCATGAATACACCACACAAAAAGCTTGATTTTTATGGCTGTTTTAATACGATTTTCCTGCAATTCTACTTAGTAATAATTTATGTTCACTACAATTCATTTGATGATTACATCTTTGCACATAAATTCTATGATAGTTTTTTTTAAATTCTGTAATATGGTATATTGTAGCCATGTGTTCAAGCTAATCAAATCAAAGTTTATTTAGCGCTGTCCTTTTAGAACCAGGAAGGGCGCTCCAATCATTTAAAATAACACTCATCAAGATCTGTTGCCTAATAGTCCTACTCACCACTTATTATTATTATTATTATTACTAATAGAAGATTATCACTTCTCACAATGGTGCTCGTTTAGTCAAGTTAGATCAAAGCTGAATCAATGTCTCGCAAAATCACATACTGATTAATTAGTAGCCTATTTTACATAACAGAACCGAATATAATAGCTTAGCATAGTAGGCCTATAACGTTAATGTTACACCAAAAACACCTAATTTTTAATGACATTTTAGGATGATTAGCTGAAGCTGAATAGTCAAATGTATAATGTGCCAAAACTCAAAAGAGCCACTAGGCAGGGTATATGCTTTGATTGATACAAAATACAAGAAAGGCTAAGAGTTTGTTAACACTATCTGCTCTGATTCGCTCACGAAACTGTCATTCAAGAAGATCGCAATGCATAGACTATTCCCATGAAACTGATTGAGATCAATCAAATGATTGGCATGCAGATGCGGTTTCACCGGTAACGCGTGAAGAATTATGATTCACGACTGATAGTGATGATGGCCTATGTTTTAATTAGGTATGCCTAACTTGGTGTTTGATGGTATTACATAATTATTATTTTTTATTGAGGCCATATGTGTGGGCATAGAAAGACGTTGCAATTGGAGGATACATTTTATGCATATTCTATAACAGGGCTCTCCAACCCTGTTCCTGGAGAGCTACCATCCTGTAGGTTTTCATTCCAACCTTAATCTGATTCCAGTGGTGGAAAAGTACCCAATTGTCATACTTGAGTAAAAGTAAAGATATCTTAACAGAAAATGAAAGAAAAGTGAAAGTCACCCAGTAAAATATTACTTGAGTGAATGTCTAAAAGTGTTTTATTTTAAATATACTTAAGTATCAAAAGTAAATGTAATTAAAAAATGTTTACATAAGTACCAAAAGTAAAAGTATTAATAATTTCAAATTGCTTATATTAAGCAAACCAGAGGGCACACTCCAACATGCAGAAATAATTTACAAACAAAGCATTTGTGTTTCTTGAGTTCTCCAGATCAGAGGCAGTAGAGATGAGCAGGTACGTTCTCTTAATAAGTGTGTGAATTTGACCACTTTCCTGTCCTGCTAAACATTCAAAATGTAACCAGTACTTTTGGGTGTCAGGGAAAATGTATGGAGTAAAAAGTACATTATCTTTAGGAATGTAGTGAAGTAAATGTAGTCAAAAATATAAAAAGTAAAGTACAGATACCCCCAAAAAACTACTTAAGTAGTACTTTAAAGTATTCTATTAATTAACTAGTTTATAAGATTATTAGGTTAGTTAAAACTGGGGTTGCAGTGAAATCATACAGGAAGGCAGCTCTCCAGGAACAGGGTTGGACAGTATTGTAATGACAGGCTTTGCATAAGGCTACACCTGTCGGTACAAACTTTGATTGAGGAAATGATGACGTCATTTACATATATTTTTTCGCTTCCTCTCCTAAAAAAATAGCACTACACCACTTGATATAAAGTGGGTTTTTTCAAAGTTGCCAAAATGCCACGTGCGTCCACTTATACCAGTGCATTTGTAACAACCTAACCATTACAACATTTTATTAGATCAAATAAGCCTATAAGTAGCAATTTAGCAATTACATTTTTTGTTGACCAAATTCGACACTCATTGACCTCCATACAAACATTTTCGTGGACAGATTTGGGGCGGGGGTAAAACCTCTCGCTTCGCCTCTTCCTCTCTGCCTGAAAGCAGATTTGATTTAACCGGCACCTCGTAGGCAAATCATGAACGCGATTGGCCATTCATCATCCTCAATACATGATTGACAGTATAACCGACCAATGGTGAGCGGTTAAGCGATCGCGGTGGTTGGCGGATTAGCGGTGAGTCTTCTATGGACATATGAGATATGCAGCCTTCGCATTGTTCTATGTGGCAACTTTGTTACTACTTTCGACCAAGGAGTGATCTATGTAACAACATTTGCTGGATACCTTTGTTCCGTTTTGTAGCTCGGTCATAAAGTAACCGTCATCTTTCGGCACTGGAGCACCGGCTGCTAGCCACCGCAAGTTACGCTAGGAAGGTTAGTATCAGCAGTCAATTTAAGGGGATTTAAATCGCGATGGTAACGTTAATTTGTGACAAACTCATCCGTTAGATCGACGTATAGGCAAATTATGCTGTCCGCACCTATACATTTGTAACTGCATTTTGTACATTCTGACTTGGGTTGCGTTATTGTAAAATTGACAGAAAATAAATGCCATAGCATAGCTACTTATTTTGACCAGAGACTACATATTGCAAGCAAGTTTACGTAAGCCAGCTGACACTGCTTGTCACTGTTGTGAAGGCGAGAATACACATCCCTTTTTGTGTTCTGTGTTCTCTTTTGTTTGCTGCCTTGTTTGACAAACATCAGTTAGCAAATACTTGTACATACAAGTTCCAGATATTGTTTAAGACTTTGGTTATGAGTAGAATGGCAATAGCTACAAAAGTAATCAAGTCATTTATCAAATTGGTCTATTTGCTTTGTTTGAATAAACATGATCTATTCATGTTCATTAAGCCTGGCATCATACTCTTCTTTGGGTTGCTAAAGTTTGACAGCCAGCCTATTGTCGTCAGTTGACACTGACAGTGCACTCCTTAGCTAGTTTGATGATGGCTCACTGTCGTTGCAGTTCGCACTAACCTCCTGTAACCCCTTTCTGCTGTCCTTTCTTGCCTGAAGCACATGGCTCACTTGGAAATGCTGAATAGAGAACTCTTTCTCTCTTTTGGAAGAAAAAGTATCAACACTTGATCATCTTAAGTTTACGGACGCTCGCCTTGTATTTACTGACTTCTATTTACTGACTTCTTTCTTTCTTTCTTTCTTTCTTTCTTTCTTTCTTTCTTTCTTTCTTTCTTTCTTCCTTCTATTTACTGCCTCCCATAGACTCAGTGAGAGGGGAACTGTAAGAGAGGGAGAGAAGAAGAGATTGGTGTGAGAAGAGGAGAACCTCAGTAGGTCGAAGAGAAGATTGGTGAGAGAAGAGTGTCCAGTAGTGTGGGCAGAGATGGGAGAACCAGAGCCCCTTAAGTTTGTTTCACTGGAGGAGGAGGTGGACTACTGGAAGGAACAGGTGGCCAAGCACCAACAGAGGTACACACACACACACACACACACACACACACAAAAGAAGGAGCAGTCTGCCAGGCCCCAGCAGAGGTACCCACAGGTATCTGCTTAAACCGTGGTGTCCTCTGTTACTCCACGACCACCATCTTGACCCCTAACCTCTCCCAGGTCTGAGGAGGCGCAGGAGGAGCTGCAGGAGTTCCAGCAGATGAGCCGTGACTACGAGGTGGAACTGGAGATGGAACTCAAGCAGTGTGAGACACGGAACCAAGAACTCCTCACACAGAACAACAGGTTACACGTGGAACTGGAGAACTACAAGGTATGAACCGTTGACTTGACTCTAGTCTAGAGAAGCGTTTTTTCCAACCTCTACTCGGTTGGAACCAGCCGTTCCATCTATTTGAACTATTCCAGAACTAGCACACCTGGTTCAACTTATCATCAAGCCCTTAATAATAATAATAATAATAATAATAATAATAATGTATTACATTTGTAAAGCTCTTTTCATAATACAGAATAATCTTTAAGTGCATAAAATGGAAATGAAATAGAACAAAGATGACACGACAACTGACACCAAGAACCCAGCTGATGCTACAAGGGACAAGGACACCAAGGAGCACAGATAGTAACAGAAAGCCTTCGTAAAGACAAAGGTCTTTAGGCCTGTTTTAAAGGAGCCCAGAGTCTGTGGTGCCTTCAGGTGGTCCAGGAGGGCGTTCCAGATGTTGTGTCACGCATTGGTGAGGTGTGTTATTGGTGCGTCCTGGACCTGGTGGGGGGTCCCAACAAGTAGGGCCTCGGTTTTGCTGCTGTTCAGTTGAAGGAAGTTTTGCTTCCACCATGCCCTTATCTCCGTAAGGCAGGTGTTCAGACGGGCACATCCATCAGAGAGACTTTGGGCTGTTTTTACCTACAGCTGGGTGTCATCAGCATAGTAGTGGAAGAAGATTCCATGCCGGGGGAGAGCATGTACTGGACGAGCAGAATTGGTCCAAGAACAGATCCTTGTGGGACACCGCAGGTGACTTGGTGAGTCCGGGACCTGGACCCACCTAGCGACACATGCTCAGTCCTGTCTGAGAGGTAGGAGTGGAACCAGCTCAGAGCTGGTCCAGACAGTCCGATGCTGTCCCGGAGGTGTTCCAGGAGGATGGGGTGGTTGACAGTGTCAAAAGCTGCGCTCAAGTCCAGGAGGATCCAGAGACGGGGAGTTTACATCAGCCGCCATTAGCAGGTTGTTGGTGACCCTGAGTAGGGTCGTTTCAGTGCTGTGGGCCGGCCGGAAACATGACCGGAACTTCTCAAATGGGTTGTTCTCATTGAGATGGTCCTGGAGCTGTACAGCAACCAATTTTTCCAACACCTTGGAAAGGTAGGGGAGGGTGGATATTGGCCTGTATTTGGCAAGCACTTCTGGGTCCACGGTGGGCTTCTTCAGAAGGGGGGGGGCTGATGACAGCAGTCTTAAATGCAGGTGAGACACTGCCAGATTGTTATCCACTCCCTCCAATCTGGGTTATCAGGGGGCTGAGTGCAGGGATGCATGTTTTGAACAGGGCTGTTGGAATAGGATCCCAGGTACAGGAGGAGGTAGTTTTCTCAATACCTCCCTGGGTGACTTCAAGGAAGCAGTAGAAAGGCTGAGGTGGAGGGTCGAAGGCGGCAGAAGACAGAGTAGTAGATCTTTAGATGAGAGATCTGATGTTGCTGACCTTACTGTTAAAAAAAAGTGAATGAAGCTCTTACACTGCTCTTCCGTTGTCTCGATCTGGGACTGGGGGTTTCAAAAGTTGGTTTATTGTGGAAAACCGGTGCTTTGCGTTTCCAGGATTTGTATTGATGAGGTTGGAGTAGAACGTCGGCCGTGCCTCTTTCAGGGCCTTGGAATAGGCCATTTGGTGCTCTTGAAAGGCCAGTTTGTGGACGGTGAGCCCCAAGTTTCTGAGATCAGGATGCGTCCAGTGGATTTTGTGTTTTTCAGTTCTGGAGTAAACCAGGGAGCTGAGTTAGTGAATGTGACATCCCATGTTTTTATGGGGGCATGCAGGTGATTTTTACGGCGAGACATTCAAAATAGCACAGTTCAGGCAGTGGCAGGAGGGAGTTCAGCTTGGTGTACGATGGCTATGCCACCGCTGCGGCCAGTGCTGCAGGCTTTTTCCATGTACCTGTAACCAGGTGGGCAGGCTTTATTTAGGGCTAAGTAGACCCCAGGCTGATGCCAGGTTTCAGTTAGACACATGATGTCAAGCTTCTTGTCCACTATGTGGTTGTGCAGCAGGAGGGATTTATTAGTGAGAGACTGGGCATAAAATAGTTCCATGCTGATAGGCTGGGCATGAAATAGTTCCATGCTGATAGGCTGACCATTAAATAGTTCCATGCTGATAGGCTGACCAGGAAATAGTTCCATGCTGATAGGTTGGGCATGAAATAGTTCCATGATGATAGGCTGGGCATGAAATAGTTCCATGCTGATAGGCTGGGCATGAAATAGTTCCATGCTGATAGGCTGGGCATGAAATAGTTCCATGCTGATAGGCTGGGCATGAAATAGTTCCATGCTGATAGGTTGGCCATGAAATAGTTCCATGCTGATAGGTTGGCCATGAAATAGTTCCATGCTGATAGGTTGGCCATGAAGTAGTTCCATGCTCATAGGTTGGGCATGAAATAGTTCCATGCTGATAGGTTGGGCATGAAATAGTTCCATGCTGATAGGCTGACCATTAAATAGTTCCATGCTGATAGGCTGACCATTAAATAGTTCCATGCTGATAGGCTGACCATTAAATAGTTCCATGCTGATAGGTTGGGCATGAAATAGTTCCATGCTGATAGGTTGGGCATTAAATAGTTCCATGCTGATAGGCTGACCATTAAATAGTTCCATGCTGATAGGCTGACCATTAAATAGTTCCATGCTGATAGGTTGGGCATTAAATAGTTCCATGCTGATAGGTTGGGCATTAAATAGTTCCATGCTGATAGGCTGACCATTAAATAGTTCCATGCTGATAGGTTGGGCATTAAATAGTTCCATGCTGATAGGCTGACCATTAAATAGTTCCATGCTGATAGGTTGGGCATTAAATAGTTCCATACTGATAGGTTGGGCATTAAATAGTTCCATGCTGATAGGCTGACCATTAAATAGTTCCATGCTGATAGGCTGACCATTAAATAGTTCCATGCTGATAGGCTGACCATTAAATAGTTCCATGCTGATAGGTTGGGCATTAAATAGTTCCATGCTGATAGGTTGGGCATTAAATAGTTCCATGCTGATAGGCTGACCATTAAATAGTTCCATGCTGATAGGCTGACCATTAAATAGTTCCATGCTGATAGGCTGACCATTAAATAGTTCCATGCTGATAGGCTGACCATGAAATAGTTCCATGCTGATAGGCTGGGCATGAAATAGTTCCATGCTGATAGGCTGACCATTAAATAGTTCCATGCTGATAGGCTGACCATTAAATAGTTCCATGCTGATAGGCTGACCATTAAATAGTTCCATGCTGATAGGCTGACCATTAAATAGTTCCATGCTGATAGGTTGGGCATTAAATAGTTCCATGCTGATAGGCTGACCATTAAATAGTTCCATGCTGATAGGCTGACCATTAAATAGTTCCATGCTGATAGGCTGACCATTAAATAGTTCCATGCTGATAGGCTGACCATGAAATAGTTCCATGCTGATAGGTTGGCCATGAAATAGTTCCATGCTGATAGGTTGGCCATGAAATAGTTCCATGCTGATAGGTTGGCCATGAAATAGTTCCATGCTGATAGGTTGGGCATGAAATAGTTCCATGCTGATAGGTTGGGCATGAAATAGTTCCATGCTGATAGGCTGGGCATGAAATAGTTCCATGCTGATAGGCTGACCATGAAATAGTTCCATGCTGATAGGCTGACCATGAAATAGTTCCATGCTGATAGGCTGACCATTAAATAGTTCCATGCTGATAGGCTGACCATTAAATAGTTCCATGCTGATAGGCTGACCATTAAATAGTTCCATGCTGATAGGCTGACCATTAAATAGTTCCATGCTGATAGGCTGACCATGAAATAGTTCCATGCTGATAGGCTGGGCATGAAATAGTTCCATGCTGATAGGCTGACCATTAAATAGTTCCATGCTGATAGGCTGACCATTAAATAGTTCCATGCTGATAGGCTGACCATTAAATAGTTCCATGCTGATAGGCTGACCATTAAATAGTTCCATGCTGATAGGCTGACCATTAAATAGTTCCATGCTGATAGACAAGAGAGCTGTATATTAAATAGGAGTTGCATCAAGTCTCTGTAGAGGGCACTAAATCAAGTATCAGAGGTCTCAGAGCACTGAAATCCACTCCGATTTGCCTTGTGTGCAGAGGTCTCGCTGTGTTTCCAACTGCCTGAGGAGCAGCCAGCAAACCTGGCCAGTGTCTTTTATCATCCAACCCCGGTGGGCATGTTGTACTGCTCTCATTGGGAGTGCACACAAAATACTTTATTTTGTTTAATAGTCTCCTACTCCCTCGTTGTCCTCGCCAGCTGCATGTTTTCCGTAGGATCCCATATTGAATAAAGCTGTTCTTGAGCTCCTCACAACAGGGTGGTTTAATCCTTTCAAAACTTCTGAGGACTCTTTCTGCGTTGTGAATGAGGGTTGCTGCCATTTCTGAATCTTTGATCCAGCCTTTGGTCAGGTGATGGGAGAAGATGAGGATGATATGAGGGTCTATGAAGATTTGGGCTGCTTTTCAAATCCAAACAAATAGATTGGAGAAGTTGTCAGAAATGTTAACTAACTTAATTTTGTTGGTAAAAAATAAATAGATACAGTGGGGGAAAAAAAGTATTTAGTCAGCCACCAATTGTGCAAGTTCTCCCACTTAAAAAGATGAGAGGCCTGTAATTTTCATCATAGGTACACGTCAACTATGACAGACAAATTGAGAATTTCTTTCTCCAGAAAATCACATTGTAGGATTTTTAATGAATTTATTTGCACATTTTTGTGGAAAATAAGTATTTGGTCACCTACAAACAAGCAAGATTTCTGGCTCTCACAGACCTGTAACTTCTTCTTTAAGAGGCTCCTCTGTCCTCCACTCGTTACCTGTATTAATGGCACCTGTTTGAACTTATCAGTATAAAAGACACCTGTCCACAACCTCAAACAGTCACACTCCAAACTCCACTATGGCCAAGACCAAAGAGCTGTCAAAGGACAGCTGAAACAAAATTGTAGACCTGCACCAGGCTGAGAAGACTGAATCTGCAATAGGTAAGCAGCTTGGTTTGAAGAAATCAACTGTGGGAGCAATTATTAGGAAATGGAAGACATACAAGACCACTGATAATCTCCCTCGATCTGGGGCTCCACGCAAGATCTCACCCCGTGGGGTCAAAATGATCACAAGAACGATGAGCAAAAATCCCAGAACCACACGGGGGGACCTAGTGAATGACCTGCAGAGAGCTGGGACCAAAGTAACAAAGCCTACCATCAGTAACACACTACGCCGCCAGGGACTCAAATCCTGCAGTGCCAGACGTGTCCCCCTGCTTAAGCCAGTACATGTCCAGGCCCGTCTGAAGTTTGCTAGAGTGCATTTGGATGATCCAGAAGAGGATTGGGAGAATGTCATATGGTCAGATGAAACCAAAATATAACTTTTTGGTAAAAACTCAACTCGTCGTGTTTGGAGGACAAAGAATGCTGAGTTGCATCCAAAGAACACCATACCTACTGTGAAGCATGGGGGTGGAAACATCATGCTTTGGGGCTGTTTTTCTGCAAAGGGACCAGGACGACTGATCCGTGTAAAGGAAAGAATGAATGGGGCCATGTATCGTGAGATTTTGAGTGAAAACCACCTTCCATCAGCAAGGGCATTGAAGATGAAACGTGGCTGGGTCTTTCAGCATGACAATGATCCCAAACACACCGCCCGGGCAACGAAGGAGTGGCTTCGTAAGAAGCATTCCAAAACATCACTGCTCTAGAGGAGATCTGCATGGAGGAATGGGCCAAAATACCAGCAACAGTGTGTGAAAACCTTGTGAAGACTTACAGAAAACATTTGACCTGTGTCATTGCCAACAAAGGGTATATAACAAAGTATTGAGAAACTTTTGTTATTGACCAAATACTTATTTTCCACCATAATTTGCAAATAAATTCATAAAAAATCCTACAATGTGATTTTCTGGAGAAAAAAAATCTCATTTTGTCTGTCATAGTTGACGTGTACCTATGATGAAAATTACAGGCCTCTCATCTTTTTAAGTGGGAGAACTTGCACAATTGGTGGCTGACTAAATACTTTTTTCCCCCACTGTATCTGTGTTCAATACTTGATTAGCTATCAATAAATCAAAGTTAATAAAAACAATGCACATAAACACTTTTTATTAATGTATTATTAATTTATGAAGTATACATTTGCAGGACTACTACCAAGGCTGCCGCAAGGCTCCATGGCAACCATGGAATCTTCAAGCCCTTGACTACATGAATCAGGTCGTAGTTCAGGGTTATAACAAAATTTGAAATGTCTCGGGGTCCCAGAGGAGATGTTTGAAAAAGGCTGGTCTAGACTCCAGAGAACCTTGCAGAACAGTGGAGAACTAGAGGGTTCTCTGAAGCTGAGAATGTAAAGTATGGATCCTGAGAACTCCAAGCTATAGAACAGATATGATAGCGTAACAGTCTAGAATGTGATGGAACTGTCTTAGAACATCTAAGGCAACAACACGGTTCAGAACAGAACAACAGTTAGGTTAAACAACCCCCTTGAAGAAACTGGATAGGTGGAAACAAAATGGCGGATGCTCCCTGAAGCCACACTGTAAGGTCGCAGGTGGAGCAATCATCACTATCTCCTTACACCTATCCCATACTTCAGATCTGCCATATTGTAGAATGTGTTTATTAGATAATTAATGGCATTCCTTCAGGCCCTGCGGTAGACTAGCGTCCTGTCCAGGGGGTGTACTTGTACTCCCACTACAGAAACAGGTGGTTCCTGCTCTATGGGCCATTCTGGCTGGGACAAGGCTACTTAACTTCATTTTACTTCAGACGCTGCAAAACAACGACTGGCAAGAAGCTTTGAGTTGTTTTCAGACCAGACATAAATGTACTAGCTACTTTGATCACATGCAGCACCATATCTTCTAACCATAATGAATGCATCTGTTGAGGCTTAGTGAGTTTCCTCTGACAGAGCTGTTGTAAAACACGGGCTCATTCAGTAGGGAGCTACGTTTTTGGAATATTCAGGTCGTAATACGCTATATAGAACAAAACATTGCCTTGTGACGACTAGGGAATCACATCTGCAACGTTCGACAACGTTTGGCTACTAAACGTGGCCCAGGTCTGTCTGATGGAAAGCCTGCAGTTGTATTTGAATGGGTATTTTCCTATCAGCCGGCTGCCTGTTTGGGCCAGTGGTTATGAGCCTGCTATCCCTGAGGAGAATAGGGCGGGCTAGAATAGGGTGCTGCTGGTCTAAAGGGCTCTCCGTGGGACAGTAGTGTCTGTGTCTGTCTGTCTGTCTGTGTCTGTCTGTGTGTGATGACTGAGCGACTGTATTCATCGCTAGAGGAGAGCTCTCCAGACCTCCCGGGTCAGAGAGAAGATTTAGCAATTTTATAACTCATTTCATGTAATTCTACTCATTTTTTCCAGGAGGCAGAGAGAACAATTTGGTCGTTTTTCAGCTAATTTCTTGCAATGCTATACATTTTGCCATAGGGTGGAGAGAAATGTTAGCAGTTTTTAATATGATATCTGAGTGAGTGACTTAACAAAATCAATGGGGGCCACCCGGTCGGTAATTCGACCATGATTACTACAAGTTTCGATAGGTGGTCGCTAGACTAACTTACAATCTAAATTTTTTTTAGCTGACATGGGTTAATTGAGTGATTGTCAGTAGCTAGGTTTCCATCCAATTGGCGACAGATTTTCATGCTAATATTCTAAAATCTGCATAAGGAAAATATGCGAATGCGTGATGACATTGTGCACACAAAATGTACTGTTTCGACTTAAGTTTTCATGTACCGAATTAATAAATTTTACCGACACAAAAGATCCCACCTAGTCGAACTAACAAATGATGTCTGCATTTACATTTTGTTACTGAAACTTCCTCTTTCCATCACTTCCTCTTTCTGTCATGACTTTACTCACAACTGGATGGAAATGTGGTTTGTGCATGCCTGGCTGTGCTTGAGGTGATGTTACTTTGGAACCGCTGACGATGTCTGACACTCACTTCCTGATGGATGTACTTCCTGTGACACGTTTCCAACAGTTGAGTCAGACAGGAAGTTACAAAAGCTATAGCATCCTGTCTATATCTATTACCAAACCTAAGCTGTGTCTGAAAAAGTTACTAGTTGTCAAATTCTTGTTTCCTCAATTCCTCTCAAAGCTCATTAGAGGAGGAGGTCTTAGGGAGGGACCTCGGATCCCCTCCTCCAATGAGCTTTGAGAGGAATTGAGGAACCAAGGATGGAGGAAGCAAGGATTTGACTCTGCAGGCCCATTAGACTGATATGGCTACTGGTTAACATGAGTATTTGCATGCAGAGATAATTGAGATGGAGCAGACAGTTAAGTGAGCTAGTCTTGTCATCAGGTCATTTCCCTAACAAACTGTCAGGTCAAGTCTGAACTGCTGCCTGCTAGCTATCTTTGCTGGGAACACTTAACTGTAGATTTTATATACCGTGTGTAACTGAAGAGAAATGCTGTGTTGTGTTGATGAATATGGCCTAATTAACCGTCTGCTGGATTCATACAGTCAATCACATTTATTTATAAAGACAGTGAGTTTGTCCGGGGCTACATAACAAATGTGTGCTGTTGGGGTACTGGAGGAGTTGAGAAACTTGGGGTACTGGAGGAGTTGAGAAACACTGTTGGGGGTACTGGAGGAGTTGAGAAACACTGTTGGGGTACTGGAGGAGTTGAGAAACACTGTTGGGGGTACTGGAGGAGTTGAGAAACACTGTTGGGGTACTGGAGGAGTTGAGAAACACTGTTGGGGGTACTGGAGGAGTTGAGAAACACTGTTGGGGGTACTGGAGGAGTTGAGAAACACTGTTGGGGGTACTGGAGGAGTTTGAGAAACACTGTTGGGGTACTGGAGGAGTTGAGAAACACTGTTGGGGGTACTGGAGGAGTTGAGAAAACACTGTTGGGGGTACTGGAGGAGTTGAGAAACACTGTTGGGGTACTGGAGGAGTTGAGAAACACTGGTTGGGGTACTGGAGGAGTTGAGAAACACTGTTGGGGTACTGGAGGAGTTGAGAAACACTGTTGGGGGTACTGGAGGAGTTGAGAAACACTGTTGGGGGTACTGGAGGAGTTGAGAAACACTGTTGGGGGTACTGGAGGAGTTGAGAAACACTGTTGGGGGTACTGGAGGAGTTGAGAAACACTGTTTGGGGGTACTGGAGGAGTTGAGAAACACTGTTGGGGTACTGGAGGAGTTGAGAAACACTGTTGGGGGTACTGGAGGAGTTGAGAAACACTGTTGGGGGTACTGGAGGAGTTGAGAAACACTGTTGGGGTACTGGAGGAGTTTAGTGTACTACTGTTGACCATTTCTCCCCACTATCCCTTCCAGGAGAAGTATGAAACGCAGCACTCGGAGGCGTACCGTCAGATCTCTACTCTGGAAGGAGACCTGGCTGAGACCACGGCCATCAGAGACCAGCTCCATAAATACATCAGAGAGCTGGAGCAGGCTAATGATGACCTGGAGAGAGCCAAGAGGTAGGAGAGGGGTTGTAGGGGTGTAACTGGAGCAGGCTAATGATGACCTGGAGAGACCCCTACATCATAAGCACCTCTCTGTTTCTCTCTGTTTCTCTCTGTTTCTCTCTGTTTGTCTCTGTTTGTCTCTGTGCTCCTAGACCATCTCACTGGCATGATTCTTACATGAAGAATAGAGAATGGTTCTTAATGATGGATCCTAACATGACCTAACTCTACCTATTCCTCCTCCTCTCTCTCCTCCCTCCTCTCTCCTCCCTCCTCCCTCTCTCCCTCCCTCCTCCCTCCTCCATCAGGGCTACCATCATGTCTCTGGAGGACTTTGAACAGAGGATGAACCATGTGATAGAGAGGAATGCCTTCCTGGAGAGTGAGCTGGACGAGAAGGAGAGCCTACTGGAGTCAGTTCAGAGACTGAAGGATGAAGCCAGAGGTGTGTCTCGGTGTGGGTCTTGTGCTGCAGGCTGAGACATCAGGCTGGGACAGTGTTTGTGTGTGTGGTGGTATGAATGAAGGGCTCTGTTCTTCTGGTTAACTGGTGGTCCTGGTTAACTGGTGGTTCTGGTTAACTGGCGGTCCTGGGGTTCTGGTTAACTGGTGGTTCTGGTTAACTGGCGGTCCTGGGGTTCTGGTTAACTGGCGGTCCTGTGGTTCTGGTTAACTGGCGGTCCTGTGGTTCTGGTTAACTGGCGGTCCTGGGGTTCTGGTTAACTGGCGGTCCTGTTCTTCTGGTTAACTGGTGTTTCTGGTTAACTGGTGGTTCTGGTTAACTGGTGGTTCTGGTTAACTGGCGGTCCTGTGGTTCTGGTTAACTGGCGGTCCTGTGGTTCTGGTTAACTGGCTGTCCTGTTCTGGTTAACTGGCGGTCCTGTGTGTGTGTGTGTGTGTTGCGTGGGCTTGATGTGATGTTCTCCTGTTTGTCTCTGGCTATCTACTGTTTGTCCCCCCTCTCTGTCCACTCTCTGTCCCCTCTCTCCCCTCTCTGTCCCCCTCTCTCACCCCTCTCTCTCTCCCCCCTCTCTGTCCCCTCTCTCTCTCCCCTCTCTGTCCTCTCTCTCCCCCCTCTGTCCCCTCTCCCCCTCTCTCCCCCCCTCTCTCTCCCCCTCTCCCCCCTCTCCCCCCTCTCTCCCCTCTCTCCCCCCCTCTCTCTCCCCTCTCTGTCCCCTCTCTCTGTCCCCTCTCTCTCCCCCCTCTCCCCTCTCTCCCCCCTCTGTCCCCTCTGTCCCCTCTCCCCTCTCTCTCCCCTCTCCCCCCCTCTCTCCCCTCTCCCCCTCTCTCCCCCCTCTGTCCCCTCTCCCCCCCTCTCTCCTCTCTCCCCCCTCTCTCCCCTCTCCCCCCCTCTCTCCCCTCTCTGTCCCCTCTCTCTGTCCCCTCTCTCTCCCCCCTCTCTCCCCTCTCTCCCCTCTGTCCCCTCTCTCCCCTCTCCGTCCCCTCTCTGTCCCCTCTCTGTCCCCTCTCTCCCCCCCCCTCTCTCCCCTCTGTCCCCTCTCTCCCCCTCTCTCTCTCTCCCCCCCTCTCTATCCCCTCTCTGTCCTCTCTGTCCTCTCTCTCCTCTCCTCTCTCTCCCCTCTCTCCCCCCTCTCTCCCCCCTCTCCCCTCTCCCCCCCCCCCCTCTGTCCCCTCTGTCCCCCTCTGTCCCCTCTGTCCCCTCTGTCCCCTCTGTCCCCTCTGTCCCCTCTGTCCCCCTCTGTCCCCTCTGTCCTCTCTGTCCCCTCTCTCTCCCCTCTCTCCCCCTCTGTCCCCTCTCTCTCCCCCCCTCTCTCCCCTCTCTCCCCTCTGTCCCCTCTCTCCCCTCTGTCCTCTCTCCCCTCTCTCCCCTCTCTCCCCCTCTCCCCCCCCCTCTCTGTCCCCTCTCTGTCCCCTCTCTGTCCCCTCTCTGTCCCCTCTCTCTCCCCTCTGTTCCCCTCTCTCTCCCCCCCTCTCTCCCCTCTCTCCCCCTCTGTCCCCTCTCTCCCCTCTGTCCTCTCTCCCCTCTCTGTCCCCTCTCTGTCCCCTCTCTGTCCCCTCTCTGTCCCCCTCTCTCTCCCCTCTCTCCCCCTCTCCCCCCTCTCTCTCCCCTCTGTCCCCCCTCTCTCCCCTCTGTCCCCTCTCTCCCCTCCCCCCCCCTCTCTCCCCCCTCTCTGTCCCCTCTCTTTCCCCTCTCTCTCTCCCCCCCTCTCTTTCCCCTCTCTCTCTCCCCTCTCTGTCCTCTCTCCTCGTCCCCTCTCTTCCCTCCCCTCTCCCCTCTCTCCCCTCTGCTCCCTCTCTCCCCTCTTCCCCCCCCTCTCTCCCTCTCCTCTGTCCCCTCTCTCCCCTCTCTCCCCCCCTCTCTCCCCCCTCTTTTTCCCCCCTCTCTCTCTCCCCCCTCTCGTCCTCTCTCTCCCCCCTCTTTCCCCTCCCTCTCTCCCCCCTCCCCCCCTTCCCCCCCCCCCCTCTCTCCCCTCTCCCCTCTCCCCCCTTTTTCCCCTCCCCTCCCCCCCCCCTCTCCCCCCCCCTCTGCCCCCCTCTCTCCTCTCTTCCCCCCCCCTTCCCCCCTCTCCTCTTCTCCCCTCTCCCCTCTCCCCCCCCCTCCCCCGGGCCCCCCCTCCCCCTTCCCCTCTTCCCCCCCCCTTCCCCTCCTCTCCCCCCCTCCCCCCCTCTCCCCTCTCTCCCCCCTTTTTCCTCCCCCCCCTCCCCTCCCCTTCTCCCCTTCCCCCCCCCTCTCTCCCCTTTTCCTCCCCCCCTTTTCCCCCCTCTCCCTCCCCCTCTCCCCTCTCTCCCCTTCTCCCCCCACCCTTCCCCTTCCCCTCCCCCTCTCTCCCCTCTCCCCCCCTCTCTCTCCTCTCTCCCCTTTTCCCCTCTCCCCCCCCCCCCCCCCCTCTCTCCTCTCTCCCCCCCCCCTCTCGCCCCCCTTCCCCTCCCCTCCCCCTCTCTCCCCCCTGCCCCTTTTTTCCCCTCTCTCCCCTCTCTTCTCCCCCCCCTTTTTCCCCCTCTCTCCCCCCTCTCTCCCTCTCTTTCCCCTTTCCCCTTTCTCCCCCTCTCTCCCCTCTCTCTCCCCCCCCTCTTTTCCCCTCTCCTCCCCTCTCTCCCCCCCTTTTTAAAACCCCCCTCTCCCCTCCCCCCTCTCCCCCCTCCCCCCTTCTTGTTCCCCCTCTCCCCCCTCTCTCTGTTAAAGAGGTTAAACCTCTTTTTTTGCTGGTGTAGTGGCAAATAGGGAGTTTGTGCTCGGGTTGAGCACAGAAGATGGACTGTTCCTCAGTTTACTGCTCTTTAATCTTGCTTGCAGGTTTAACAAAGTTCACACTTCTGTGCCATTGTTAAGCTGTAATTAGCCAATGTTGTGTGTCCATAAACTGTGGTCTGAAATGATAAACATGAAATCTATTGGTATCAATATTATGTGTTGATAGGTTATGATAAGGGACATATTAATTAGCAATAATAAACCAGATTAAGTTGTCTTCTGCTGTAAAAATACGACGACATGAATAACATACAGCTGGCGGGTTATACACTGTATCGGCAGGATAGAACAGCAGCCTCTGGTAAAACAAGGGTTGGCGGTCTATGCATATTTGTAAACAACAGCTGGTGCACGATATCTAAGGAAGTCTCGAGGTTTTGCTCGCCTGAGGTAGAGTATCTCATGATAAGCTGTAGACCACACTATCTACCAAGAGAGTTTTCATCTATATTCTTCGTAGCTGTCTATTTACCACCACAAACCGATGCTGGCACTAAGACCACACTCAATGAGCTGTATAAGGCCATAAGCAAACAGGAAAACGCTCATAGTGGCCGGGGACTTTAATGCAGGGAAACTTAAATCTGTTCTACCTAATTTCTACCAGCATGTTAATTGTGCAACTAGAGGGAAAAAACTCTAGACCACCTTTACTCCACACACAGAGACCCGTACAAAGCTCTCCATAGCCCTCCATTTGGCAAATCTGACCATAATTCTACCCTCCTGATTCCTGCTTACAAGCAAAAACCAAAGCAGGAAGCACCAGTGAATCGGTCAATAAAAAAGTGGTCAGATGAAGCAGATGCTAAGCTACAGGACTGTTTTGCTACCACAGACTGGAATATGTTCCGGGATTCTTCCGATGGCATTGAGGAGTGCACCACATTAGTCACTGGCTTCATCAATAAGTGCATCGACGACGTCGTCCCCACAGTGACTGTACGTACATACCCCAACCAGAAGCCATGGATTACAGGCAACATCCACACTGAGCTAAAGGGTAGAACTGCTGCTTTCAAGAAGCGGGACTCTAACCCGGAAGTTTATAAGAAATCCCGCTATGCCCTCCGACGAACCATTAAACAGGCAAAGCGTCAATACAGGACTAAGATTGAATTGTACTATACCGGCTCTGACGCTCGTCGGATGTGGCAGGGCTTGAAAACTATTACAGACTACAAAGGGAAGCACAGCCGTGAGCTGCCCAGTGACACAAGCCTACCAGACGAGCTAAATTACTTCAATGCTCGCTTCGAGGCAAGTAACACTGAAAGATGCATGAGAGCATCAGCTGTTCCGGACGACTGTGTGATCACGCTCTCCGTAGCCGATGTGATTAAGACCTTTAAACAGGTCAACATTCACAAGGCCACAGGGCCAGACAGATTACCAGGACGTGTACTCCGAGCATGCGCTGACCAACTGGCAAGTGTCTTCACTGACATTTTCAACCTGTCCCTGACTGAGTCTGTAATACCAACATGTTTCAAGCAGACCACTATAGTCCCTGTGCCCAAGAACACTAAGGTAACCTGGCTAATTGACTACCGACCCGTAGCGCTCACGTCTGTAGCCATGAAGTGCTTTGAAAGGCTGGTCATGGCTCACATCAACACCATTATCCCAGAAACCCTAGACTCACTCCAATTTGCATATCGCCTCAACAGATCCACAGATGATGCAATCTCTATTGCACTCCACACTGCCCTTTCACACCTGGACAAAAGGAACACCTATGTGAGAATGCTATTCATTGACTACAGCTCAGCGTTCAACACCATAGGGCCCTCAAAGCTCATCACCAAGCTAAGGACCCTGGGACTAAATACCTCCCTCTGCAACTGGATCCTGGACTTCCAGATCCAGGTGGTAAGGGTAGGTAACAACACATCTGCCACGCTGATCCTCAATACGGGGGCCCCTCAAGGGTGCGTGCTCAGTCCCCTCCTGTACTCCCTGTTCACTCATTACTGCATGGCCAGGCACGACTCCAACACCATCATTTAAGTTTGCAGATGACACAACAGTGGTAGGCCTGATCACCGACAACGATGAGACAGCCTATAGGGAGGTGGTCAGAGACCTGGCAGGGTGGTGCCAGGACAACAACCTCTCCCTCAACGTGATCAAGACAAAGGAGATGATTTGTAGACTACAGGAAAAAGAAGAGGACCGAGCGCGCCCCCATTCTCATCGTGGAGCAGGTTGAGAGCTTCAGGTTCCTTGGTGTCCACATCACCAACAAACTAATGTGGTCCAAGCACACCAAGACAGTCGTGAAGAGGGCACGACAAAACCTATTCCCCCTGAAAAGATTTGGCATGGGTCCTCAGATCCTCAAAAGGTTCTACAGCTGCACCATCGAGAGCATCCTGACTGGTTGCATCACGGCCTGGTATGGCAACTGCTTGGCCTCCGACCGCAAGGCACTACAGAGGGTAGTGCGTACGGCCCAGTACATCACTGGGGCCAAGCTTCCTGCCATCCAGGACCTCTATACCAGGCGGTGTCAGAGGAAGGCCCTAAAAATGGTCAATGACTCCAGCCGCCACCCTAGTCATAGACTGTTCTCTCTGCTACCGCACGGCAAGCGGTACCGGAGCGCCAAGTCTAGGTCCAAGAGGCATCACACACAGTGAAGGATTAACAGCTAGAAATAATCATGTTACAAACCGGAGATTCCTCTCCACAGGCGCAAGCTGAACTTGGGAATGAATGAACACTCAGAGCAGTCCTAGCTATGACATCAGTCACTCTTAAAGGGACAGGCTTTCTTACTGTCTCTCTCTGTCTGTCTCTGTGTGTGTCTCTCACTCTCTTTCACTCTGTGTGTGTATGTCTTAGATCTAAGACAGGAGTTGGCAGTCCAACAGAAGCAGGAAAGACGACCGTCCTTCACTGTCACCAAAGACTCTCTCTCAGACAAGATGGAGGAAAAAACATCCCTCGCTACCTCCCATTCATTCACACGCCCCCCCTCATCCCTCCGTTCCTCCCCTCCTCCTGCTCTCTCCTCCTCAGCTCTCCTCTCCACCCCCCTCCAGACCACCCCACCCCTCAGCAAGCCCCTTCATCACCCCCCCACCCTCTTACAGCAGAGGTGAGTGCCCCCCCCGTGTGTGTGTGTGTGTTCATGTGGAAAATGTCTACTCATTAAATTCCCGGATCACACCAGGAGATTTTAAACTCTTTATTTTTTTGTGTTCAGGTGACGGCCAATCAGGTACTCCTCTCACTGCGTCGGCACGTATATCAGCTCTCAACATCGTAGGAGAACTGCTGAGGAAAGTTGGGGTAAGATGATTTAAAGGTCTGAGGTGATAAAGGTCTTCTAATTCTAAAACTCATACACACACAACTACACAAGAAATAAGCGGTATAATGCCAGAGGAATATCTTTGGTTTGTCTCTGTGACATTCAGAAGCTGTGCTACGACCTTCTAAAGTCGAGGGGTCAAAGAAATTGGACTTTGCTCGGGAAGTAATCTTTTACAATGTGACTGTCGCTATCAATTGATCAAATCACTTTCTGTAAAAGAGTATGCATAATTAAATTGAGGGTTAATATCAATAATTATAATAAAACTTAATTGGTAGCGGAATAACATTTGGGGGAAATCAGGTCTAGACTTTTATTTTCTAAATTAATTATTATGATAATGAAATAGCCTACCTACGTTTTTTATGAAACTATGTAGAATAGCAGGAAATGAGCTTCCAAACAACACAATGTTCCCAATGAAACCAAAATCAAGCTGGGGTTGTCTTTTTATTCAATAAACAAATGACATTAAAAAAGGGGGCCTTGGGGGGAAAGGTTGGGAGCCCCTGCACTAATACCGCCCTCATACAGGTAGTGCAGCGGTTGTGTGTGATTAACATCTGTTTCCTGTCAGTTGTACAGCTGTAACAGGAAGTTTGCTGACTGTTTTGTTCTCTCTATTTGACTCTCTGATCACAACACATTCATGTATATCACAACACTGTTCTGTCTTCCTCTCTGATCACGACACATTCATGTATATCACAACACTGTTCTGTCTTCCTCTCTGATCACGACACATTCATGTATATCACAACACTGTTCTGTATTCCTCTCTGATCACAACACATTCATGTATATCACAACACTGTTCTGTGTTCCTCTCTGATCACAACACATTCATGTATATCACAACACTGTTCTGTCTTCCTCTCTGATCACGACACATTCATGTATATATCACAACACTGTTCTGTCTTCCTCTCTGATCACGACACATTCATGTATATCACAACACTGTTCTGTCTTCCTCTCTGATCACGACACATTCATGTATATATCACAACACTGTTCTGTCTTCCTCTCTGATCACGACACATTCATGTATATCACAACACTGTTCTGTCTTCCTCTCTGATCACGACACATTCATGTATATCACAACACTGTTCTGTCTTCCTCTCTGACCACCGTATCACAAACACATAACATACCACTGTGTATCTGCTATATGTGTGTAACCCTGCATCCATGCCTGTGGTTTCAGAACCTGGAGTCTAAACTAGCATCCTGTAGGGAGTTTGTCTATGAACAGTCTCCTGGTCGCAGTACCCTCTCTGGGGGACAGGGGGCGCCACCCATCCAGAAAGGCACTTCTTCTGACACACCGTCCGCCACCAACGGACTCTACGAGAAAGGGTGAGGGGTCGACTATAGCAAGCTCTACGACTAGCTCAATAATGATCGCATCCCCAAATGGCACCCTGTTCCCTATAGGTCCTGGTTAATAGTAGTGCACTATTGAATAGGGTGCCATTTTGGGACTCGAAGCAATGACTTGACAAGCCATTTGTATAGCCTACCTACAACTGAATCAGGTAATGTAAACAGACATTTAAACTGTTAGGGATCTACATGCTGATATTGATCCATGTAGTTTTTATTACATTCAACTGGAACCCAACAGCCCATCACAAGAAAGCCCATCAGAGAACGAAATGGACACTGAAGACAAATACATTAAAAAAATAAAATAATACATAAAAATATATTCCGTTAGTCGTGGTGTCATAGCTTACAACCTAATGAATAAATATAAAGCTGATTAGTCGTCTACATGATATTAATGAGTGATGATGATCCTTATCCTAACAGAAGTAGTAGTAGTCCCCTGTAGATCAGTTGGTAGAACATGGCGTTTGCAACGCCAGGGTTGTGGGTTCGTTTCCCACTGGGGGCCAGTATGAAAAATATATGCACTCACTAACTGTAAGTCGCTCTGGATAAGAGCGTCTGCTAAATTACTAAAATGTAAATTTAAGTCAAACCCAAGAACCGAACAACAAGGCCCATTGGGGTATGAAAGTCACAAATTAGTCTGGGACAAAATGGCTGAGAATAGTCTGAGTTGAAGTCTGAAACATTCTGTCAGTTGTAGTGTGCTGTTAAAGTAATCTGTTTCTGTTGTGTGTTACAGCATGGTGAAGAGACTAGACTTCGGACCAGGACCCAAAATTATTCTGTGAACCCCCCCATCCGGTTAGCTACAGTGTGCACTAATGAATGTGTCCCTGCCCAGCACAGTCTCCCTTGGCTACCAGGCTTGTATCACAGCTTTCAGCTTCCAATGGGGTTTAATGTACTAGCATACAGCTCTCTCACTCTGGTGGAATGGAATGGACCAGATCATTGGACATCACTGAAGTGAGTCTAGAGTTCTAGAACTGTTCTAGAATGTCATTGAGACAGAACCTCGCCATCTAATGCAATGGAACGTCATAGAACGTCAGTGTTGATATCAACTGTTCTAGAGCATCGTTGAGGAGCTTTGATGACGTCACGGATCAACGGTACTCCTTCCCTCTGCGCTTTACCCAGGATGCTTTGCCCCTGCGGGTCTCTTATCGAGGACAGAGAGGCTCCTAGGAGCGGGGCTTATGGCACGGGCACTTCCTGTTGGAACTAACCTGTAGCGGACCCATATCTGGTCTAAAGTAGTGCACTATGTTGGGAATAGGGTTGCCATCTGGAACTTAACCACGGTGTTGTTTTGTTACATTTGCTGTGTTCTGTTTTGGGTGTTTCTGTTCCTTTTGATGTTTGATGGAGGAAAAAGTGTTGTTACTGGAATGGAAGGTTATCCACACAATAATGATGATTTATATTTCAAATGTTTATTTATTTATTTTACTTCACATGAATACAACCCCTGGTTTTGTCTGCTTATCTTTGAAGAATAATAATGATAATACTGTAACTGACTGAACAGTGACACCTACTGGTTAAGGAGAGGAAGTGGAAGGAGGAGAGGTTCAGGAGTAGGGTTGCAAAATTCCGGTAACTTTCCCAAAATACCCAGGTTTTCCAGAAATCCTGGTTGGAAGATTTCCAGAATCAGGGTGTAGTAAGCAGGAAATCTGGAATCCTTCAGCCAGGATCTCTGAAAATCCAGGACATCTTGGGACTAGTCAGGAGGCAGAAGGAAAGTTGGTGTAGAAGGTTGGGTAAGGAATAGATAGACTTTGCACCTTTTATTGCAGGTCCAGGATCAGATGTTGTTTCTCTAATGGTTAATGGTGGGATTGGGGTTAGGGTAATCTGATCCTAGATCTGTGGGTGACTTCTACCTCACAGGAAAAGTGAAGGTGTGTTTGGTTAGGTTGGGGAATGTGTTGGGCGTAGATGTGGATAGAGAGCTCTTCTTTGCATTGCCATAATGGCTTCTGTGACCACATGGGCAGATTTCTCCATTTTAAAGTAGTCAAGTTCTTCTTCAACCGCTGAGTCTGTAAAGCCAAGGTTGGTGATTTAATGCCACCTGAAGTTACGTAATGTTTGCTAAGGAGTATAATTCCAATGGCTGATCAATCCTGCTGACCTGGATGGAATTCTGTGATCCTTTCCTAACCCATAGCAAGTCCCAGCCAGTTGACTACTTCAAAATGTTGAAAGTCCCCAGTGGCTCACTCTGCCCGTGCTAAAACAGGCTTTGTGGCACGTGAGCCATCTATCCAAGCCTATGGTGTTGAGTGGATGCCATTTCACCAGAGCTACTGATGGCACCTCATCCTGGTCAAACCTGACTGAACGCTAGCCTGCGCTCACCTTTAGAGCTTCAACAGGGCTAGTCTGATATCTTCAACATGGCCAGTCTGATATCTTCAACAGGGCTAGTCTGATATCTTCAACAGGGCTAGTCTGATATCTTCAACATGGCCAGTCTGATATCTTCAACATGGCCAGTCTGATATCTTCAACATGGCCAGTCTGATATTTTCAACATGGCCAGTCTGATATTTTCAACATGGCCAGTCTGATATCTTCAACAGGGCCAGTCTGATATCTTCAACAGGGCCAGTCTGATATCTTCAACAGGGTCAGTCTGATATCTTCAACATGGCCAGTCTGATATCTTCAACATGGCCAGTCTGATATCTTCAACATGGCCAGTCTGATATCTTCAACAGGGTCAGTCTGATATTTTCAACATGGCCAGTCTGATATCTTCAACAGGGCCAGTCTGATATCTTCAACATGGCCAGTCTGATATTTTCAACATGGCCAGTCTGATATTTTCAACAGGGCCAGTCTGATATAACAGAGTTAGATTACCAAAGTTAATGGTGCCTTCTTGAACTGTAATTTGTTTAAACTATAGCAATACAGTTTGATTATTTTACTAGTAGAAATCTTGAATGAATTAATGAATAAACAGTGTTGTAAAGTAATCCACGTTGAGATTGAAGCTGTATTTTATGTTTCTAAGTAGACATTTTTATACACTGCTCAAAAAAATAAAGGGAACACTTAAACAACACATCCTAGATCTGAATGAATGAAATAATCTTATTAAAATACTTTTTTTCTTTACATAGTTGAATGTGCTGACAAACAAAATCACACAAAAATTATCAATGGAATCAAAATGTATCAAACCCATGGAGGTCTGGATTTGGAGTCACCCTCAAAATT